TTTTTTTTTTTTTTTTTCTTTACGCAGATTAAATAGCATTGAAACATAAATGCACATCATGTACACAGTCAGGCGAATACTTTACCGTTAGGCGTCTTGAAACATCTGCAACCGTTGCCTGGAATTACCAAGTATTCAGGTCCGAGTGACATTTCCAAAAGCCCTCCGTGGAAATTAAGGCGACTTGCATAACATTCGGGTTTAAAAATATACCCGGTCCGGCTGGAGAAGATGCGGTATTTTTGTGCCACCCAAGATAAGACACTAACTTGACCTTAACTTTGTTATGGCGCCCCTAGTATCTGGAGAACGTGAACAGACACTGTCTGGCAGCTCTCGTAAAAACCGACTGGAGAAGAGATTCTGAGTCATTTCATTTATTGCCACTACAGTTCTGCAAGAAAGCTTTTCCTCCCTGCCAAACTTTAATTATTTATGCTCTTTTAGGAGGCACAAAGGCATCCAGAGCCATTCCCAACAAGCCGAGTTGCGTTTGCAGCCTTATCAAACGAAGAGGAATGGAGAGCCCCCTCGGAAGGGCTTTATCACGTTTAGGCTGCGGTTGGAATGCAAAGATGTTTATGTTGGAGTAAATAAAAGGATGGACGGTCGCCTGCATGCTGCGGGGAGACGCGGGCGTGGGCGCAGCAAGCGGGTGCCCGCTGATATGCCCCCCCCCGCCTCCGCACCGCACGAACCCACAAAGCCGGGGCAGGGGGCGAAATACAGCTGGAAGGACACCCGAAATAATCCAGCCGAGGGCGTGGGGTGCATCCACCTCACTCGGGTGCATCTCCTGCAAGCCCACCCGGCGTGCCGCACACGCGTGTGCACACATGTGCCCACGGGGCGGCTCAAGCGGGTGCGCGCAGGCAGAGCCGCGCAGGCAGAGCCGCACAGGCAGAGCCGCGCAGGCAGAGCCGCGCAGGCAGGGCGCGCCCCGCGCCTGCAGCTCTGCCCCATGCGTGTGTGCCTCCACACACGCCCGGACCGGCGGGGCTGTCGTCGCCCGCTGCTTCAGAGCAAAGGCTGAAGCCCGGAGTATGGGCACACGTGGAATCATGCACCATTTTCTACCGCCTGTGTGTCTACGCACAGTGTAAGCCCGCAAATACGTACGTCTGTGTGTGCGCACACACGGTTGCACACAACGGGCGCTGCTGAAATAAGTACATCTCTATAGATCCAGGCACATACAGAGGTTCACAGCACACATAATTTCGCATCACGTCGCAATTTAGATCCTACCTCCTCTGTTTTGTCCCCTTCCGTGGGCGATTCGGTCTAGAAGCTTTACTATAAGCCATCGTCGTGGACCAGATACGTTTAATAAACAATACATTGCCTTTCGCATCTTTTCACCGGGGTTTCTCTTCGGATTTTGCATCACCCATGTAATAAAAGGACTGGTTGTACTGGGGCGGGTCAGAACAGAGAAGGACGGCATAAAGGGTCCATTTCTCATGGACTGTAGCCTGCTGAATAGTATTCCAGGAGAGAATAAGAAAAGGGGCTTTATCTGGTTTTCGCTTTTCTCCTGGCTTGCACCATTGGGGTTGCTTCTAGTTTTTTTAATTAGGGAAATGCTACTGAATGAAGAGACTTTTATTGTCCGCAATGCGCCAGCTCCCAGCACAGGGGCTGAATACCTCGAAGATTTGGAGGGACCCAGGGGTGGTGCCTCTGGCTGTAGGTGGCTAGGTGTGCACCCTTCCCTCGGGGAGTTCTCGCCCTACTTCGCCCCCACTTTTCTACGGACAATCACCCCGCCATGAGCGGGGAAGGGGTTTGTCCACACTGGACAGAGTGGTAAGAGTGGCCCTTCCGGACGGCGAGAAATGTACCTCCAAACTGGGCTGGTTTTCCTTCTCCCCCCGCGAAGCACCAGCCGAGCGTTACCTTTGGGGCTCTCTGGAAAGCCTTCGGGAAGATGGCTGCATTTCTGCCCTCCCAGGAACCCGGCATTTGCCTCCAAACCCACCGTTGTGACCTTGCGAGCGGGACTTGTAAGCACACGAGTGGGTAGGAGCGAAGTTTATACGTGTCTCTTTATGAAATAATGAGTTTATTGCCTTCAGGAAGGCAATAGCCCCGTGTAAATAGGTAGCTGCTTTGTGGCGTTCCTTGTGGTTGTTTAGCCTTGTCGCACACGCCCCGCACAACCATATCTGAGCCTACTTTATATACTAGAAAATAACGGAGGCTCCGCCAGCTTAATCGTTATTACTGTGGGGAAAGGCAACCCAAGGCTTCGCGTGTGGAAACGCCTCTTCATTAGAAACAGATTTAGCTGGAAATTGCAGCCAAAAGGCGTTTTAATCCGCACCTAAAATTCCGTGAGATTTTTTTATTTTGTGAAATATCAGACCAAGGCCGTATCTGCCATTTCCCCCGGCTCTGCAGCTCCGGCCAGCCTGGCCGCTGGGCTGCTCCAGAGGCTGGTGGCTCCCGGCAGAGAAAGCCTGTCAGCAAGATGCGGGGAAAATCGATTTCCTTCTCGTCCTAAAACAATAACCAAACGGCTTGGGCAATGCTCCCAGCCCCTCTGGTCGGGTGATCCTCTGAGGTTTAAATCTGGGCAAAAAACCGAAAGCGTTCCCCCACTTCACTCGTAAAAACCTCTGCGGAAACCGCCGTGGGGACGGTCTCACGAAATAATCAAGCCCACCAAAACCTCCGGGCTCTCCCCTCTCCTGTGCCTGCAGCCCCTCGGGGTGAGCGGTGGGTCCCGGCTCCCCTCAGCCCTGCCCCTGCCCCCGCCAGAGAGAAGCTGTTAGCCGGGAATTCTCTTGCTGGTTGTGACCGCTGCCCGGAACGCTATGCAGGGCAACAGCGATTCTCGTCCTCCGTGCTTGCTTTTTCTCAGAATGGGGCTTGGTGAGCGTTTTCGGCCGAAAACG